AGTGTGAATGACTGGAGATTGGAGGTGTGATGCCTCAGGTGAAAGCAAGAGCTTGTCAGAAGACAGGGTGGCTGGTGAGATGAGGAGTAAACAGAGGCCACTGGGGCTCATGCTGGGATATATTTTCAATTCTGTTATGTAAACTCTATGTTTAACTATTTGAGGAACTGACAAACTTTTTTCTAAGAACTTACTTATGAATACAGCTTTGTCCATGTCACAAAGTTTGACACAGTATTATCATTTTTGTTAAAATATAATGCATTGTAATATTTTTTTCATATTGTCTATAATCAGATCAAGTTTCATAAGGGATTTCTCCCTGATCCTGTATTTTATCTCTGGTAAATATTTATTTTAATATTGCCTTCCCTTTGTGATTGCAGAGATTTCATAGCTATCAAAAGAAACCCATTTTCCTCAAAAGGATATGTGTAATTCTTTAACTTCCTTCATATGTCACAGAGTGCAGATTCAAAAGTAGACCAGTTTCTGCTTTTGGCAGGCATTCATCTGATAGTGCAGCTCTGTGGTGACATTATCTCCTTCCTGTTCTTACCACTTTGAACTCTGGCTTCTCAAGACATCTTGACACTGTCTAAAGTTTCCATTTGCTCAAGGGAAATAATAATAATAAACACCATATAGTAACATGGAGACAGATACTATAGCTATTCCCAGGGAGGTCGGTCTGCCCAAGTTCACAGAAATTGTCAGTGGTAGAGACAAGATTCAAACCCAAGCCCTCTGGCACAGCCTATCCTCTTTTCTTTTTGTTTTTTTGTGACACTGAGGTTTGAACTCAAGGCCTTGAGCTTGCTAGGCAGGCGCTTTACCACTTGAGCCACACGTCCAGCCCACAGCCTATGACTTTGAGTGTCTCTTGGCAGATAAAAGACCACACCCTTTCTCATCGCACACACATTTGCTCCTGGGATCCTGCAAGTGCTTCTGTAGCAGGGAGGAGGATCAGAAAAAAACAGACTAGGCCTGAGTCCTGAGAAAGTAGCAGGGAGGTAGAGATGGCGTAGCAGAGAGATAAAACCTGAGAAATCTGAACATGAGGAAGGTCACATAGCACCAGGGAGGGGAAAGTCACGTAGCACTAGAATAAAGTAGCCAATAAAATTAACATAGCCATATATGGATTAGAACTTGCTTTTTGCTTCTGTAACCCACTTGCAAGGGTATATAAGGTGAGACCCCTTTGTTCTCGGGGCTCAGCCTTTGGACATGAGTCTGCTGAGTCTGTGCTGACACAATAAAACATTGCTTCCTGCTATTTGCCTCAGAGTCTTGTATCTCAGCTAGCAACTTCCCGCAACATTTCAATGTACTTCTAGTTTGATCTTAAACTTATGCTGCAACTATCACAGTAGCTACTAAGTAACTAGAATCTATTAATTCTATACACAGGTCTTCCTTTAGGTCAGTTGAACTTAAAAACTTAGTTTCAGAAGTCTTGTTCAAGGTACTTCATTCCATTTTTCTGAGTTCTTTCAATCAAAGGTGAGGCTGAAAATATCCAGGCAGATAAGGGTTGTTGTATTGTCCATAGCAGATTGTTTGAAAAGAGAGAATACGGCTCAAAAGGTTTTCTCACTCGTTAAAGCTATGGCTTGGATCACCTCCGTTTGGTTTGCTTAAAATCTTACAAGACCCAAGAGGGCATACCTTCTCTGTGTATATCTAAACTTTATTTGCTTTTATCTTAAAAGTCAGCTCTTACTAGGATTTTAGAATTCAGATTTACAACGACTTATGGAGGAAAAGGGACATTCATCGAAATACACAAATTTATTGGTCACTGGGGGTGGAGAGGGGTGGATGACAGGAAGCTATTAGCGCTCAGTGTCACCATCTTTATGTCTTTTGTGAACCGTAGTGTGCTCTCCAGCTGTGGAAGCTGAAGGACAGCAGGTGTGTCCTTCCTTGACCATTGTTCCTTTCCTGATGCTCTTGGACGTGGGAGCTCTGTCCAGCACAGAATGCTGTAGCTCTGCCCATGGAGTGAGAGGTGACATTTAATGGATTTGTGTTTTCCAGGCTGCTTCACTGCCCAGAGTTCTATCACTGGTCCAGAGAAAGTGTCTGGTCTGGAGCGGGGCTCCTTGACTGTGCAGTGTCATTATACCTCAAGTTGGAAAACCTACAAGAAGTGGTGGTGTCGAGGAGCTAACTGGGAAAGCTGCCAGGTCCTTGTTACAACCAGTGGGTCAGAGCAGGAGGTGAAGGAGGACCGTGTGTCCATCAAGGATGATCAGAAAAAGTTCCTGTTCACGGTGACCATGGAGGATCTCAGGAGAGACGACACTGACATGTACTGGTGTGGGACTGAGAGAATTGGAATTGACCTCGGGGTCAAGGTTAATGTGATCATTGATCCAGGTAAGAGTGTGGATGTGTTAGTGTCCCACTCATGTGAAGTGTCATTCAGAGTGACCTGTCACAGGGGAGTTTGTGTCTGGAGGTCTTGTACAACTTTAATGGACCTCTTGGGATAGGGAGAAAAGGACTTCTCTTGATGTCCCCTGGCTCCTAGGGCCTCCTACAGAGCAGGGTCACACCCTTCCAGGAACCTTTTCTTCTTTGCACAGCTCCTGAGTCTATTGCTAATAGAGGATAAGGCGAGGGTCCCAGTTCCAGCCCCTGGGCCAGAGACCCCCAGAGATCTCAGTCCCTGGCAAGGCCCATGGCTGCCCTGCTCTTTGGAGAGCTCTGGGCAGGACCTCCACAGCTGCTGCTTTTACTCCCTTCCCCCACTTATATTCCATATCCAACCCTAGGGGAAAGGAGCCCAACGTAATTGGGGGTGCTGTGGTCTAATTCCTGAGGCCTACAAAGGCCTTCCCAGTCAAATAGCTTCATTCCAGGTTCCTGAAATCCCAGTGTGAGCCACTCGTGCTTTTGACTTAATGACAGTCTTCTCAAGTCCTTCTAGAATGCAGACACTCTGGGGAGGGCTGTTGAGAGGTTACAGTGCCTTGGTTTGAAGGAGTTTCTCTTCAAAAGGTTGGGCTCTTTTGTTGCCATCCTTCAGACAAGGGGCACTGGTCACAGGGCACCTGTAGCCTGATGACAGCACCACATCCTTGGGTCCACACTGCCGTGGGACCTCTGAGGCCCAGTGCAGAGCACACATTGTCTCACTGAATCCTGACAACACCCCCCGGAGGAAAGAGTCCTCGTTACTTGAGCTTCAGAGCTTGCCTGAAGTGAAGGCTCGTCTTGAATGGTAGGGATTTGTTTAGGGAGGTCTTCAACATGCAAGTCCCCCATCTGAGCCCCCACTCTGCTCCTGTCCT